AAAAAGTGAGTATGGCACTTTGGTAAGGTGATGTTCCAAGGTATAAAGGCATACCCAGAAGAGACACTGCAGTGTTTGGATGTCCACAAGCCCTGGGGGCTGGGGGGGCATGGAGGAAGAGCCAAGAGCCAAGGCTGGGCCTCAAAAATCAGATTCTCGGGTTGGTTTCCCCATCTCTCTGTCTCCAGAGCATTCTGTTCCTTGCTCCCTGCTGTCAGGCAACAGAGAGGAGTGGGGGGACTTGGGTCTTCAGGCTCCATGAACCCATCTGCATCTCTTTACCCTATTCTGCCTGCAGGCCCCAGGCCTAGCCGGGAACTGGCCACAGAGGCAGCAGAGGGGGTGAAGGAGAAGGTCTGCCGGCTGAACCAGGAGGTGGGTTTGCGCTGGCTCTTCCCTGCCAAGCCCAGAGAATATTGTCTTGGGGTCTGAGAGGAGCATGTCGTGTTGCGGAGCTAGCCAGAGTCTTGGGTTCCGTCAGTCACACTAGTTAAATGACCCTGGGCAAGTCCCACAGCCATGCTGGGCTTAGTTCCTCACCTAAAAGTTAGAAAAGTACTGTTGCTGGGTGGTGGTGGCACAGTTAATCCCAGTACTCCGGAGGAGGCAGAGGCCAAGCCTGGACTATAGAGTGGGTCGCAGGACAGCCAGGGCTACACAGAGAAATCCTGTCTCAAAAACAAAACAAACAAACAAAAACCCAGGAAAACAAAAACACACAAATAACAGATAATAGAAAACAGATAAATAGAAAAATAATATGTGCGAGACTAGAGTGTATGAATATCTCTGGTCCAGCCCCTCTGCATCTCAGGTATTCACTAACACCTCCTCCTCCCACAACTGAGTCTCTGTTTACAGCCTGGGACCATCCAACCAAGCGCCAAGCACCGCTGAGTCTGATGCTCAAGCCCTTTCTGTTTGTATCTTTACCCAGTCCTTGTGTTGTGGTGTGTGTGTGTTTTGAGGAAGGGTCAGTGGCTAGGGAAGCTGAGAGGCTTTTAAGCTTAGAGGACCTATGCCCATATGGGTGAATCTTGGCCAGGAAGCGCCCAGATTCTGTGTGCCTAGCATAGGTACCGCCTCTACTTATTTCCCAAGGGATTCTCAGTATTGTTGCCCGTAGCTACCGAGCCCAGCCCCTGGGAGTCACCTTCCCTCCATTCTGATAAACAGCAGGCAGCCAGAGCTGTGGCACCTGGACTCAAGCAGGGCCTAGAGCTATCTACAGTAAGGTTAAAGGCTAGCCTTGCTTCTGTGCACTGTCTCAGGCTGCCCTCTCCTCTAGGCCAGTGATTCCCATATCTGAGTATGAATCAGAACTACCCTTTAAAATACAGGTTCTGCTCGGCAGTAGTGGTGTATGCCTTTAATCCCAGCAGAGGCAGGCGGATCCCTGTGAGTTGAAGGCCAGCCTGGTCTACAAGAGCTAGTTCCAGGAAAAGTGCCGTGCCAAAGCTACTGAGAAACCCTGTCTTGAAAACAAACAAACAAACAAACAAATGAAATACAAGTTCCTAGGGCCTTAACTGGCTTGGAATGAATAGGGTGGGGCCAAGAACTCTGCATTCTTGACAAGTTTCTCTCTTACTAAAGTTTGAAAAACACTCCTGAAGAGACTTGAGCTTGTGTGATGGGCTAAGAACAAGGCTATTCTTCGTATTTTATAAAAGGGATAGGGAATCAAGTGTGGTGGCTTGTACCTGTAACCCCAGAACTTGGGAGATAGTGGCAAGGCAGATCAAGAGTTCAGGACCATTCTTGGTTATGTGGCAAGTTTGAGGCAAGCCTGAGCTATCTGAGACAGTCTCAGGAAGATGGCTGAACTGGTAAAGGTCTTGAGTTCTGATATCTCTTGCACACAAAAGGCAGGTTTGGTGGTGCACGCCTGTAACACTAGTGCTGGGGACAGGTATAGGCGGAGTTGGTCTAGCTGACTGGTGAGCTGTGGATTCAATGAGAGACTGTCTCCAAAACACAAAACAACAGCAAAAATAGAGAGAGTGATAAAAGGATGCTACCCAATGATGACCTCTGGCCTAGAGGGACACACACAAAATTAAATAGCTGGGCAGTGGTGGCACACGCCTTTAATCCAAGCACTAGGGAGGCAGAGGCAGGCGGATCTCTGTGAGTTCAAGGCCAGCCTGGTCTACAGAGCTAGTTTCCCCCAGGACAGCCAGGGCTGTTACACAGAGAAACCCTGTCTAGAAAAACCAAAAACCAAACAAACAAAAGTAAATAAAATAGAAAGAGAAGGGACAGCAGTGTCTGCTGCCGCAAAATCAAAACTGGGGCACTTTACCTGATGGCTGTTATAGCCCCTGCTCTTTCTTCCCATGTGACTGCAGGCAGAGAGTGGTTAGGGAATTTTGTAAACTGTACTGTAGGGGTGGGGAGTGAGCCTGGTTATGGTTATCGCATCCTTGAGACACTTTGCTACATTCCCAACAGATCTCCCGCCTCAATCAGGAAGTGTCTCAGCTGAGCAGAGAGCTGCGACAAGTGATGGGGCTCCTACAGGCCAGGCTGGGTCCCCCAAGTCACCCATCTGACTCAGCTTGGCCCCCAGACCTTCCTTGCCCCCACCAGAGGCCACCATGCATCTCTCCTCACCTGTCTGGACCGCCACCGGGTCTCCAGGATACTACACTCGCTGTGGTACACTGTCCAGCCAGTGTGGGCACCGTGGAGATAGGGGCCACCCCCTCAGAGCTGAGACCTTCCACGATGGCACCCTATCCCTCAGAACCTGAACTTCTCGGACCCTCTGCAGTGACAGAGGCTTCTCCCCTGACCCCAAGCCTCATGAGGCACAGCTTTCAGTCTGGGTCAGACACATTCCACTGACCCTGGCCTTGGGCCCAGGCCTGTCTGGGGTGGGTATTACGAACCTGCCATCCAGGGAGGAGCTGGGCTCCTGGGCCTCTTGCCTTGGGGTCAGCAGCCAACAGCTGGTCTGGTTGGCTCTGAATTCTCTGGACTTTTTAACAAAGAGTGGCCACATCTAACCCTGTTCCATTTTCTAAACCATCCCCCATCCTCCTCTTCCGTGAGGGGAGCCACCACCTGAGGCCATGGAATCCAGCAGGCATGAAATGGACTGTGGTGCCCTGCTGGCCTGGGCAGAGGAGATGTCCTACTTTCTTCCCAAGACTTGGAGGCAGGTATAGCCTGGGAACAGAAGAATGGTCAAGAGTAAGGATCTAGCCTGTGAATGAAAGCTGTGGCTGGACCATGCGGGGGGGGGGGGGG